GGGGAGGGGGAGTCCCACCCCCACCCAAGGTTTTATGATGTCAGACTCTGCCCGTGCCTTTCCCAGTTAGGGACAAAGACCCATTGAGAGCAGGGTGGGACTTGAACGCCTGGGTCCTGGAGCAGAGAGGGGCCTGGTGCCTGGCTTTGGGGGAGGACACTGAGATCCTGGGGTCACATGTGTCACAGTCTTCGGCGTCAACACCAAGCCAGTTGGAGTCGTGTGTCTGGGCAGTTTCGGGCTCCGTCTTCCCCCTGGGTGTGAACTGAAGGCTTTTCCTGGGGGAAGGGTGCACAGGCGGGTGTCCCAGAAGAGCACTGGCAACTGTTGCGGAAATCTGCAACCTGGGCTCCAGTGAGGCAGGTGGAGTAAGTGAGAGGGAGGGACTGGGTGAGGGAACTGCGGGCTGGAGAGCAGGTCCCTGTCTAGAGGGGACAGCCACCATACAGACCCAGGGGCTGGTGAGGAAGATGAGCAGATCTGCTGCAGAAAGCGGGTGTGTCCGTTTGCTAGGATGCCATAACAAAGTATCACAAACTGGATGGCTGGAAGCTCAGACAACTGTGTGGTCTCACAGCTCTAAAGGCTTAAATTACACGGTCAAGGTATTGGCAGGGTTGGTTCAGGCGTTGTAACAAAATATCACAAACTGGGTGGCTTAAAGCCTGCATTTATTGTCCCGCAGTCCTACAGGCTTGAGTTCCACGACGATGGTGAGAGCAGAATCAAACTCTTGGGCGCACTTGAATTTAAGTTCTTGAATGGAAGCTGGGGCTTGGTCCAGCCAATGTGCACTTGCTGGCAGCTTCAGGTCATAGGTCCTAAGAGTGAGGCCCCCAAGCCCACAGCTTGTTAGAAATGCAAGTTTTAGGGTCTTACCCCACACTCACAGAATCAGGAACTTGGGGTGAGGCCCAGACATCTGTTTATTTTTTTTTTCCTTAAGAGACAGAATCTCACTCTGTCTCCTCAGCTGGAGCACAGTCGTATGATCCTAGCTCACTGTAACCTCAAATTTCTAGGCTCAAACGATCCTCCTGCCTCAGCCTCCTGAGTAGCTAGGACACAGGCACACACCACCACACTTGGGCAATTTTTTAAAAATGTAGAGACAGCAGTGTGGGGGAGTCTTGCTGGGTTGCCCAGGATGGTCTCAGACACCTAGCCTCAAGCGACCCTTCTGCCTCTGCCTCCCAAAGTGTTGGGATTACAGGCAATGAGCCATAGTGCCAGGCCCCATCTGCATTTTAACAGGCCTTCCAGGAGATGGCACACTGAAGTTTTAGTAGCTCTGCTTTACATCTTCATCCATTTCTCTAGGACCACCATAGAGAGGGGCTGGCTAGAGAGAGAAGAGCAGCCTGAGTTATTGAATATCATTCGCAATTTGGGTTCCCCACCCCCAGGCATGTACTAATGCTGTCAATACTAATCTTTTACGTTTACGAGGCATTTGACAGTTTCCAAAACATTGTTATGCCTGTCCCCTTGGCTGGGCAGCTCCACAGCCAGATGGGCTAAATCCTTTAGAGATGATTCTGGCTTCTCTCCTGTTAAAGATGGGAGGGGGTGGGGGTTGAGGAGAAGCTGCAGGCAGGATGCTGCAGTAAGAGGACAAGCTCGTCCCAGCTCCTCCCTCCATCCTTACAGCCTTCATTCAGGACACCTCTCTGCCAGAGGACAAGCCCCTCTTTTCTTCTAAGGCGACGGCCAATGTGGTGGTGTGCAGACTGGCCTGGCTTCTGTTGCATTAGATTTGGCTCACATAGCCGGGCTCAGTGGCTCAGCCTGTAATCCCGCGCCTTTGGGAGGCTGAGGTGAGTGGATTGCCTGAGCCCGCGGGTTCGAGACCTGCCTGGGCTGCGAGACCTCATCTCTACAATAAATCAAAAAATCAGCTGGGCGTGGTAGTGCATGCCTGTAATTTCGGCTACTCGGAAAGCTGAGCCCGAAGGATTGCCGGAGCCCAGCAGATTGAGGCTGCGGCTGCCGGGAGCGGCCACTGCACTCCAGTCTGGGTGACAGAGTGAGATTCCGACTCAAAAAAAAAAAAAAAAAAAGGAAGTTTAAAGGTGGCTTAGCCTGTAATCCCGTGCCTTTGGGAGGCTGAGGTGAGTGGATTGCCTGAGCCCGCGGGTTCAAGACCCGCCAAAAAATCAGTCGGGCGTGGTAGCGCATGCCTGTAATTCTGGCTACGCGGAAGGCTGAGCCCGAAGGATCGCCGGAGCCCAGCAGGTTGAGGCTGTGGCGGCCGGGAGCGGCCACTGCACTCCAGTCTGGGCGACAGAGTAAGACTCCGACTCAAAAGAAAAAAAAAAAAATGCCAGATTGAATTGCTTTTTCTGTTTCATTGATTTCTACTCATAATATTACAAATTTATTCCTTCTACTTTAATTTGCTGGATTTTGTTATTTTATTTTTCTCTCTTTGCTTTTAAGCCTTTTCTATTTCTTTTTTCCTAATATAAGCCTTTGTGGTTGCAAATTTCACTCTAATGCCACTTAGGTACATCTCATTTGGATATGTTTTCATAATTCAGTTCAAAATATTTTCCAACTTTCCTTGTGATTTGGCTCACAGAAGGCTGATTTTTTTTTTTTAAGTTTTTTATTTAATCAGTCACCAATATTTTAAAAATCAGGAAATTTCGTATAAAAATAAAGATTTCCATCGTCTCCTGACTAGCGCTAGCCAGCTATGTTTGCCTGCCTGTGGTCGGCTCTCAGAGCCCTCTTGAGGTGGGTCTGGGTGTCCCCACTTCTTGTCCTCACCCACACTGAGTGACCAATGCCCATCATCATTATGCGAGTGTTGTTGTTTCTTACAAGCTAAGAAGATGATGAAATACATCTTGTATCTCTGTTTCTTTCAAAAGTGGGATAGTGAGACTGAGAGTGACACAGTTTTCAAGAATGAGCGGGAACTTAATTCCTTGTGGAGGTGAACCATATTCCTATGTGTTTCGTGTGCAAAGTGTGTTCTTACAGAGAAAACACAAATCAATGTAAGTTGCTCCTATGAAATAAATCCAACTCCCCTCATTCATGTCCTGAACCTGTTGGACCTCTGAAAGCCATGGTTCTCAAACTTTTTGGTCTTAGAATCCCTTCACATTCTGAAAATTATTGTGAACTCTGGAAAGCTCTTAAGTGAGGCTATATTTATAGTTGCCTAATATATTAGAAATTGAACCTGGGAAATTTTAAAACATGAGATACACAAGCACACAACCCGTTCACCAGCAGGGCGATGGTGTCATCAAGTGTCACGGAGCCTCCAGAAAACGCCGCACTTGTGAGAGAACAAGTGAAAAAGGCCCATCTGAGAAGTACCCACCTTGGAGTCCCTGGATCCTCCTTTGAGACCCCCTGTGGGCATTTGAGTCTGTTACTCTTGCTTTAAGACAAGAGGAAACTTTGTTTAATTTTAAGTCCCTGCTTTTGCAACATAAACTCCGGGTCTTTTGAAGTGGGGAGAGAAGGGAAAGAACAGAAAACAAATTTGTTTCATCCACCTTCCTGGAGAACTCCAGTCCACATCAACCCCACACATCCCAGGGAGCCCTGGTCCTTCCAGGATCCCAAACAAGCCCCTGGAGTAGGCCCTTGGCTGGAAGGAAAGACAACAGACACTCTGGGTTGGAAAAGAAAAGAACTCGCCATTTTATTCCAAGGCTGGTGTTCAGGGCCCGCAGGAATAAATAAGGAAGGAGGGGCTGGAAGCAGGGCGGGGGGGCTTTAGGTCTTGCAGCACATCCCACACTTGGATTTCCGACAGCAGCCACAGCAGAACATGCAGATGGGGAAGTGGGTGTCTCGCTTCCTTCGCCTCTGGAGCATGGGCTGCGGGATGGAAGGGAGAGTGAGTGGGTGCGGCCTGGGCATGGGGGCTGGTGCTGGGAAGGGTGTCCCCGGTGCTCTCACCTGCCAGGGGGTCCTGGCTCCGGCTGTGTCCTGGGGCTGGAGCTCTGCAAGCTGTCCTGTCTGAGAAAGCAGAAGGGGCTGTTGAGGATGATGACAGGGCCGCAGGGGAGCGCTCAGACCCGCCCCCCCAGCCTGCTCCTCAGCTCTGAGTGCTTGGCAACTCTGCGCTCAGCTCAGCCGGGCTCCCCGGAGCTCTCTTGTGCCTGCTCGCCTTCCTGTGGGACTAAAAGCCTCCTAGACTCACCCCCTCCTCTCTCCACAGCCTTTTCCTCAGGACACCACCCTCCCTTGCGTGGATGCCAGCGCTAGCCCCCAGCCGCAGCCGTCCTCTTCCTGCATCTCGCGCTTACACAGCGGAGTCACTTTGAGTATGGCTGGTCAGATCTTGGTTTCTTTCGTTTTAAAAGCCTACAGGGGCTTCCCCTTTACTGGGAAGAAACACCAGCGTCTACACAGTTGCCCACAAGACTTTGCACGAGCTGTACCTGCCCACCCGCCTCTTATCGCCAAGCGCCATCCTGGGGCGTGCCGGACTCATCCTCCCTTGGTCTTGTTTGCTGCCCTGTCTCTTGTCCCTCAAGGCGTAGGCATTTTCTCACGGAACACTTGCTGGATTGCCAGTCCTGGGACACCATCTATGCCACCCCCTCCCCCCCGTGGCAGCCCTACCCCTGTCTTTTGTGTTACTTATGGGTAGCATTTAGTAAACGCAATTGTTTAGGATGTCTTAATCATTCAATAGCAAGTTCCCTGACCAGGGTGTAAACTCCACACAAGCAGTGCCCCTCATCCACCTTGTGCATTGGTTTATGCCCATGTCTAGAATCAGATTTGACACAGAGCAGGCACACAGTGAGTAGCTGTGGCATCAGTGCAGGGGCCTAGTCACTACCACTCAGCACTTCACTGATCCCCGTTCTTTAAGCAGCTGCCAGTGCCCCCAAGCTGTCCTGAGCTCTGCACCTTGCTGGAGGGTCTCCAGCTGCGCTCTCCCGGGAGCCTGGCTCTCCCGGGAGCCTGGCTCTCCCATCCCCGCTGCTCTGCGAGGATCCAGGCCCTGTGGGCTCTCACCTGCTGCGGGAAAACGGAGCCACTGGTCAGGCTGGCGAAGATGAGGAGGAGGAGGAGGCAAGCAGCCCGGACCCAAGTGTTAAGTGCCATCATGCCCTCTGTCTGGCTGTCCTGCTGCTGGGTCTAGAACTTGCTCTGGCATCTGGGAACCAGTCACAGTTGCTTTTATGGGGCCCGTCGGGGGAGGTGGTGGTCCGAGACCCCTCCCCTTTGCCCTAATTTCCAAGAAGGTGGTGGCGCCGAAAAGGCGGGAGAGATAAGCGGGAACAGAGTGACAGGGAACAGGGTTGTGTCACCCTTAGCCAGCAGAGGTGTGTCCAGGGGGTGGGGTAGACAGAGCAACAGACACACAGACTCGGCAGCCTCCAGCCAACCACCCAGGGAACCCTTTCCCTAACATGACATCACCCTGTTGATCTCTGAAAAAAGTCCCTTTTGCCTCAGAAGTTGAACAGGTTGCCCCCTGATACCCCATCCCCCGATACTCATTCACTCGGAGCATGAGTAGCACTTACTAGGCCCCTCTGGAGTGCCTGGCATGATTTGGGGTAGTGCCTACTGCTTTGGGTTCTCCTCACACATTCGAAGGTTTTAGTAGGAACACTGGATAGCCAGGTGCAGGGTGAGTGTCAGCGTTGTGTCCAACATGCAGTGCTAAATGTCAGAACGTTGAGATGTGTCTCTGGCAACTGGAGAATGTTTGAGGGAACTTTTGAGGATAAAAGATGGCAGTAATAGGAATAGCTGACATCTCACATGCCAGCATATATGTTGACTCACTTTTGTGTTAACTCAACCTGTGCCACCCGTTTGTTATCCAAGCAGCTCCTGCCTGCTCCATCCTGGGCTCTGCTCCATGTCCAGAGGCCCAAGCTGCCTCCCGATCACCGGACCCCAGGGGCTTGGCTTCCTGACCCTGCTTCCCCAGAGGAGACTCTCCCACTCCCAGGACTTGTCTCCTTCACTTTTCAGGAAAGGAAACGAAGGCAGAGATCAGGACGCTGCCCAAGCTTGCCTAGCCAGAGCAGAGCTGGGATTCCAGCCTGGGCAGCGTGATCCCCGGGCCTGTGCGCTGAACCACCAGGCTTCCCTGCCTGCCCTGAAACACAGCATGGCACAGTGGTGTGCTAGACCTGGCTCAACAGAGCAGACTGTGCTCATCTCATCACAACTCTGCTTTCAGTGGCTTCACATTGGTACCCCGAAACAAGCAGTGGTGGGAGTATTTGCACCACAGAAGTTGGCCAACTCTACAAACTGGGGGTTTTGGGGGGAGCTGGTTCCCCAAGACACTAGAATGGGGGACAAACCCAGGCTGCCTGACTCTGGCACTTTCATTTGGATCCAGTACTAGGCCCACCTCACGGCGCACATGGCCCAGGGGACCCACAAACCTTCACGGTGCACATGGCCCAGGGGACCCACAAACCTTGATTTCAGATGGGCCGCCCCTAGGTTTTGCCACTTTGCCTGACTCACTCCAGGGCCACAGTGTCATTGCTGTCATCAGAGCCTGGGGATGATGCTGCCACGGAACGAACACTTCTTCCTGGCTGCTGCCAACTCAAAATCACAAAACAGACGTGTCCTTGTGGGGCAAAGGTGGCTCTCCCCCATCTGTTTTCTTATTCTTCACCCGGTAGGGTCCACGTACCAGTCTCTCAAAGCTGGCTTCAAATGAGAATGGCCAGGAAAAGGAGGCAAGACCAGTTGGGGGCACTTGGGGTGGGAGCAGGGCATACGCCCAGCAAGGTGGATCAGACAGGCAAGCCCCGCTCCCGGGAGTAGATGGGACCAAATGGGGCTGCAGGACGAGGCCGGGTCCAGCAAATGGCTGCACTCACCCTCAGGGGGACACAGAAGCATCCCCCAGCCCTACCGGGCACTGTCACATCCCTGCTCAGGCCAGGTTTCATCATCAGCCAGGGGCAGGGGTCACAGCACAGGCGCCAGAGCCACGGTGCAAGGCGACAGGCTGACGGGCCAAGCTTGGCTTCCTGGACATCTGCCCTTCCTGGGGGTGGGGGGCTGAAGGCCGGGCCCACCATTGGCTGGCGCCGAGGGGAGGGCTTCAGCCCAGCAGGGCAGGGCTGGGAGCAAGTCCGGTTTCCCGAACTGCTGACACGGGAGACCCCAGCCTCTTCTCCACAAGGGACACGGCCCTGACCCCAGCTCCTCCCGCCCCACCCCACATACACCCTGGCCCTCAAGAGGACGTTCCTCCATCATCCAACCAACCACTGGGTACCGGCTGATGTGGGACGGCGGGGATGACACACCCACGGGCAGCTCGAGCCCTGCCCTCGTGGGCTCTGCAGACCCCAGGCCCCCTCCGTTCCTGAGATGGACAGACACAATCAGACAAGGCGGGGCCACATGGGGCCAGTTTATTGCAGTTAAATACCTCTCTCTCTCTATTTTTTTGTCCATTTTTCCATAAAGAAAATTAAAACACGCACACACACACACCCAAGGGGAGCGGGGATCCAGAAACAAGAGGTGGGTGGGACGGGCCTCCCTGCTAGGTCCAGGCCCCCGGGCGGCCCCCAAAGGCTCCCCTCCTTCCCACAAGCACCCTGTCTCAGTGCCTCTGGAGACCAAGGAGGCAGCGGGATATGGCAGGGCCTCTGTCCTCCGCCCTCGCGCCTCCAGATGAGACCGCCAGAAGTGCCGGGGCTTGGTGAGGGCCGGAGAAGGGAGACAGACAGACAGACAGGGAGGAAGGACATCGCTTCCAAGTCGAGGAGGGCGGTGGGCACGGTATCCACAGAAATGCATTATTTCTCCCCGTTTTTGTTAAAAATCTACTATAAAAAAACGCAGCTGGGGGAGGGGCATGTGTCCCTCTCTGTGCTAAGGGCTGGGGAGGGGGCAGCAGAGGCCGGCGGCGGCTGCACGGGGGGGTGGGCGTCACTGCCGGGTGCTGTCGCCCACCATCTCCAGGTTGTGCTGCTGCAGCTGGGCTCGAAGCAGGGCGTTCTCGTTCTTCAGCTCCTCGATCTGGCAGACATAAGTGACAAGGACGCCGGGCCTGGCTCCTTGCTCGGAGGTCCCGAGCCCCCACCCAGCCTTCGGCCCTGGCTCCCACCTGTTGCCTCAGAAGCTCATTGTCCATCTGCAGCCGCTCAGCCTCCTTGAAGGTCTCCTGCATGCGCTGGTTGGTCTGGCGTAGCTCCCGGATGTAATCGCAGGCCTTTGACAGAATCCCTCCTTTACTCTGGGGGAGCAGGGGGGACAAGAACATCGGAGTAAGCACCGCGACTGGCGCACCCAGGACGACTCCCATGCCCAGGGTCAGTCACTCTGGAAGAGGTTGGGGGACTCGGCCCACTGAAGCCATGGAGGGCCAGGCAGCCTCCTGGCCAGAGGGCGTAGGGGACACTCACCGCTCCTGTCTTGCTATTGTCTGCGTTACAGTCTGGAATGATTTTTGAAAGTTGGACGATCCAGTTGTTGATCTTGTCCCTCCGCCTCCGCTCCACTGCAAGAACAACAGCCATGACAGCGGCTACGTTTACTGCACTGTGTGTGCCCGCGTGCGCTCACAGGACAGATGCTGAGACTCAAGTATGCTGAGGCGTGGTGCAGGCTGCACCCGCGCTAGCAAGTGCAGGGCTGAGGCCTGAACCCAGGCAGCCAGCCTCCGTGACAGTTTCTCGAGTGCCACTTGACTTTAGGGCAGGAATAAAAAGCCAGGAACTTCAAGTTTGTTTTGTTGGTCTGACTGGCACATTTTTGAAATTTGAGTCAACAATTAAAAATCAGGAAATTTCAAGTCATAATTGGTATCTTTGGCTTCTTTTGACAAAAACAGAGTTCTGACCACAGCGGGCACATATTCTGGGGAGACAAGAATGGGTTGAGTCCCCTACACAGGACCCTATGCCCTCTCCAGCTCCTGCAGCCCCTGGATTTGACTATCTGGTTCTGCCTGGAGATTCTGGGACTCATGATTTCCTTTTTCTCCTCATCTCTAAAGTTAGTCTGACCATGTCTCACTCCTATTTAAAATCCTTGAGGCCCCAGCAACAAGCTCCATCTCCCCAGACTGGCACCTGTGGCTCCTGGAACCTGGCCCCCAAGGCATCGGCTCACCTGGGAACAGTGTGAACCCTCCTTGAAGGCCAGGGGTGGTAAACTAATGGAAGATCCTATTTGAAAAACCCAGATTTGTGATTTTATTCCAATAAACTCTACAGTCTCACTTGATCTGTTAGCTGAGTGGCAGCTGCCCCCACAGACAGGACAGGTGCCTTCTTCCTCTGGCCCACATCCCGTCCTGCTGATAGCCGCCAGGGGTCTGTATGCACTAGAGCCCGAGACCCCTGGTTCGGGGCCTACTGCAGCAAGACTGTCCAAGTCCTTCGTTACCTTCTAAGCACAGAACTAGGCACTGGGGGACACGAAGAACGTCCAGCTGCCCCTCGCTCCCACCCCACAGACCACCACACCCCCTGCCAGGGAGCTCATTCTGTTTGTGGAGGGGGAACAGAGCCAACAGCTAGGTGGGACGTGTGGAGGAGGCAGTGGGGTGTGTCCTAAGTGTTGAATGCTGACGATGACAGGACAACGGAGGGAGGGGCCTGATGGGGGGGGAACGGAGCAGAGGCCAGTGCGTGGCCTGCACCCCTCGCAACCCCCGAGCATCGGCGCCACCCAGCCCTGCCTTTCCCGCAGACGCTCAGGGCCCGCACCCAAGCGGAACCCACTGTCTTCTCTTGGTTTGGCCCACTTATTGCTGACCAGTCCCTCCCCACTCCAGCCTGAGTGACAACATCGTCCGACATGGGCTTCCTCCTCCTTCGCTCTCCTCTTTCCTCTGAAGCCCCCAATACCGTGACAAGAACGGTGCCAAGCAGGGAGCTTTGCCCAGGCCCAGCCCTGGCCTCACCCAAGGTTCAGTACCCTGTCCTATCATCAAAGACAGCCACATCGCATAGTCTTTGGGAACACTGTGGCCAAAAGCAGCAGGGGAGCTTAGAGTCCAGCACAGGCCTGGAGACACTGTCGCCTCGGTCCTCCACAGCGTGCTCCACTCCAAGGCTTCAGCAGAGGAACTCGGCAGCACTCGCGTCTCCGTTGCTTCCTCTACCCTCCTGCAGTCAGCCTCCGCGAACCTGGGTGCTGGGCTGCAGCTACATCTTCCTGTTTACTTCTTAAACACTTATGGCCCATCCCACTGCATAAAGGGCCCTCTGCGAGGCTCAAGTCCAGGGCAGGATCAGCCTCAGGCTCTGCTTTGCTGGCACTCACAGCACCATCATGAAGTGTCTGTGAGCAGGTGACGCTGACACCACAGCATGTGTCACAACTGAAGACTGTCAAAGTGCCTGGGGAATGCCAGAGGTGGGGCAATGGTTTCTGCAGGGGAGCAGGATGAGTCCTCAGAGAAAGACTTAGGAAACATCTGGGCTGGTTCCTGAGAGGAGGGACATCAGGCAGACAGGGTCAAGTTCCCAGAAAGGGTGGCATGAAAATACATTGAGGGTGTGTGGAGGGGAGGGAGGGATTGTAAAAACAGGTCATCAAGGTCACAAATGCTCTGCAAACAGGTCTGGACCTTACCTTCTCCCCCTCTAGAGGCCTAGGCGCTTGAGTCTAGGGCCTGTCATTAGGCAGTTGCTGATGTGGTCAGGCCTGTGGCTTCAGAAGACCACCATGGCCCATTTGAAATGGAGGAAGACCCGTTAAGACCAAGGTCATGTCTACTCCACAGAAGCATGTCAGTTACACCCATACAACATTTAAAACACAGTTTAGAAGCAAACTCTGCCAGGACATGAAGGAGAAATGGACAGATCCACAAATATAGTTGAAGACATCAATTATATAGTTGGAGACAAGACCACCTCGGCGGTAACTGACAGAATGAGTAGACAAAAAATATCAGGATAGAAAACCTGAACACTCTTAACCAACTTGACCTCACTGACCCTAAGGGCATGCTCCACCTGACAGAAGCAAATGCAAGTTCTTGTCAGGGGCAAGTGCACTCTCCCCAAGACAGATCATATTCAGGACATAAGGTACACCTCAATCAACTTCAGAGAACTGAAACTATACGGAGCATGTCTTCTGACAACAGAACTAAATTAAAAATCAATAACAGAAAAGATACCCAAAAACCCACAAATATTTGGAAATTAAGCAACACACTTCTAAATAACCCAAGGGTCAAAGAAATCACAAGGAAAGTTGGAAAATATTTTGAACTGAATTATGAAAACATATCCAAATGGGATGTACCTAAGTGGCATTAGAGTGAAATTTGCAACTACAAAGGCTTATATTAGGAAAAAAGAAATAGGAAAACTTTAAAAGCAAAGAGAGAAAAATCAAATAACAAGATCCAGCAAATTAAAGTAGAAGGAATAAATTTGTAATATTATGAGTAGAAATCAATGAAACAGAAAAAGCAATTCAATCTGGCTTTTTTTTTTTTTTTTTTGAGTTGGAGTCTCACTCTGTCGCCCAGACTGGAGTGCAGTGGCCACTCCGGGCCACCGCAGCCTCAACCTGCTGGGCTCTGGCGATCCTTCCGCCTCAGCCTTCCAAGTAGCTGGAGTTATAGGCATGCGCTACCACATCCGACTGATTTTTTGATTTACTATAGAGATGAGGTCTCGCTGCCCAGGTGGGTCTTGAACCTGCGGGCTCTGGCAATTCACTCACCTCAGCCTCCCTAAGGCACGGGATTACAGGCTGAGCCACCGAGCCCGGCTCAATCTGGCATTTAAAACCAGATTTTACATAAACATCTAGATTTCTGGCTTCTCAGAGGTTCTGGCTACAGTGGCCTTAAACATGGGCCCCGGTTTACTGGAGGTCCCCCAAACCTCTCTCTGACACACCAAGCATACTTCCTTCTCTCAGGTCCTGGCAGGCATCTGCATTGATGATGCTGGGATGGGCTCCTGCGGTATGGAGAAGTAGTAGCTGGAGAAGTAGTAGCGAAGAGGGAAAATGGGGAGAGAGGCTGATCTGAAATCCATTGGAGCACAGAATCTTGGGATTTGTGCATGTGAGGAAGAAAAGGGTAGAGTCGGAAGTGGCTCTGGCTTTCATTTTTGATTTGGGTAACCGAGACCCAGTGTGCCTTCTGCTGCTCTGGAAAGAGCAGTGTTGCATGGCAGCCTTTGGAGAGGGGAGACAACAAGCTGTTTTGGACAAAGCTGAGTTTGAGGAGTTGCAGGGACATTCAGAAATGAGTACTTGGAACGGGCAGTTCAAAGCATGGGTCTGGGGTTCAAGAGAGAAGAATGGAGTCAAGCACAGCGGTGAGCATGACCAGCATCCAGGGTGCCCAGCCCCTGGGAGGACATCAGGAAGCAGTTCTCACCTTTCTGTGAGTCACATACACTTCCGGAGAAAAGAGAAACGATGAACACCTACAGCTGGAACCAACTAGAGCTTCTGAGGGCCAGCTCGGGTCCTCATGTGCTATCCTCCTGAGGCAACACAAGAGGGGCCAGACCTTCAGCACCAGCAGCCAAAGCAGTCTCTCCAAGCAGCCTCTGACCCAGTGTGAAGACTCACCCACGGGACCAACTGAAAACAGATTTCCAGGCCCTCCCTTTCTGTTCTGCTTGTTCGGGAGAGCCTGGAGATCTTGACTGTTAAACTTCCCAAGGAAAGTTAGAGGGGCCTTGTGTGAGAAACGGTGGAGAAGGGGAAGCAGAGCAAAGGAGAATCAGAGAGGGGAGAGCAGAAAGGAACATGCCCGAACAGAAAGGAGGGAAACGGGCAGGGTCAGATGCTTGGAGCTAAGACAGGAAAGGAAGCCAGTGGATCTGGCAGCAAGGCCATCATGGGCGACCTTAACGGGAGCCGTGTTGGTAGAGAAGTGAGCCAGATCGGCAGAGTACAGGGAGGATGGGCAGACGGTCGGTCAAGTGCTCTGCGGGTCAGGAAAGAGGGAGCGGAATTGAGCCGGAGAGTAGAGGCAAGGCGGCGAAGACTGCTTTTTGCAGGATGACAGACTCAAGGCTGCTTGGAGGCAGATTAACTCAGAGAGGTAGAAAATGACACTGGGGTGGGAGGGTGGCTAGGTGGCACCACGAGTCGCTCACTTCAGCCTTCTCACATGGCACACCATACACCACTGAGGCCTCATCTCAACTCACTGGATCCCCACTAGAAGCCTCGGAGTAGTTGTGTCAGCAGCAGTGGACAGAGGGGGGAACAGGGGCAGAGATTAAAAACCAGCCTGCCACCCTAGGGTCAATAAGTGGTGGAGCCAGGAGCGGCCAGGGGGCCCAGGGGGGCCCTCAAACTCAACACATCCAAACAAGCTCAGACTCACCCCCTCCCTTCCGAGCAACCGAAGCGTTGCAGGAAACCCTGATTCTTCAGCCTCAGAGTCGTGCCCGACAGCCCTCTTGCTTTGACGCAGGCCTGACGCCCGCAGCTGCCTCCTGCTTTCCAAGCCTCTGGTTCCCACCACCTTCGCCATCCAGCTTCCACCCACAGGCCCCTCCCTGGCTTTCTTATCATGCCAGAATAACACTCCAGGGGCAGGGACATCCACACCAAGAGGCCTGGGGGCCTCTTCCAAGACCCTCTGCAATATGTCCTTGGTGGCTCCCACCATCCCCACTTTACCAACTTCCCTTTTCCCTTCCCGAACTCCACTCTTCTTCAAACACGCCAAGTTTGCTCTAGCTCAGGACCGGGGCCCTTGGACTTGCTCTTCTCCTCTGCCTGGAACTCTTCCCCGGACTCCTGACCGGCTCGTTCACCAAGGTCCATTCAGGCCTCTGCTCAAATGTCACCTCTCCAAGAGGCAGTCCGAGCACATTGCTGCCATCGCTCTCCACCTCCTTCCCAGCTTTCCCTTCTGTCGTGTGACTTACTGTACTACCTGATGTCCTAGTGTAGCTGTGTATGCTTTCTGTCTCTCACCAGACAGCTGAGACCTTGTCTGTTCTACTATCTGCTATATTGCTGTATCTGAGGGCCTAAAACTGGGGCTGGCAAACGGCACAAACGTGCTGAACGAACGGCTAAATTCAGAAAGCTCACTAGAATACAACTACACAGGCCAATAACCCCCTCCCCCTCACTGCACACCTTCAGGACTTATTCAGTGTCTCACTCTGACACTCAAGGCCTCTGCTCCTAAGGCACTCCACATAGGACCTCGGCCACAGCCAAACCAGCACCCCCTGAAGCAACCTGACCCACCTGCCTTCTCCCTGACAAAGAGCTCTTCCCCTGAGAAGCCTCACCTCATGCCCCCCACCAGCGCCTATTCAGACACAAGCCCTCCCGCCTTTGAGGCTCCCTGACACTCCAAGTCAAGCTCCAGACCTGGTGTAGGGCCCATGCTGCTCAGCCTGCAATCCTCGGTCAGTAAATATTTGCTGAGTGACAGCTGCTTGGGTGTAAGTGCTCCCTGGCACTTGCGTGTTGCTATGCCCACTGCAGTGGCTACGGACTGAGGTGGGGGACTAGGATCAGAACTGAAGGCCAAAATGACCTTAGGTAAGATCTGGTGTTTCTGGGAAGGCAGGATGCTCTGGCCTCACCAGCCAGGCACGGAATGAGACATGAGTGCGACAGCTGCCATGTGGGAAGGTCAGTCCAGGTGAGTCGGATCAACCCCGTTTTTCAAGAGGTGCAGGCAACCCACGTAAGGACGTGAAGTCTGCCATTCTAGATGTTGGCCATTAATTCAAAAGCACTAGCCAGGTATGACAAAACACATGGTCACTACCAGTTCACACTCACTGCCCAGCTATTCCTGACATTACGCTCTCTCACATGTCCAGTAACAGGCTAGAGTTGCCTCCCCACCTGTGCCTCTAAACCCAGAGCTGAAGCCTGTGAGGCTGTGGTGGCCTGGGCCGGCTCTGGAGCTCCACCTTGTCCTCACCTTCATTGTGCTGAGCTCTTCTTCTCTCATCTCGGGGTGTTCTGGTTCCATCAATTTTTCTAGAAGAGGGGAAAAAAAACAGTCACATATCACTTCAGGCCTATTTGTCCAGACGTTCATTAAACAGACTTGAAACATATCTTCGCAAGGCAAATCCATGTGCACGAAGTGCCTGCTGCTGTGTGCTGAACCGTCCAGCTCCTATTCCAGAAAACCCTCCCTCCCAGTGTCCTCTACTCCTGGGACATCTCCTGCACGTACGGGGAGTAGGGGTGTGTCCGGGGCGCAATCGTCCTCTGTGTTCCTGTCTGAAGCACATCCTGGGGCGTCATCATGACATAGAACTGGCCTGCAGGGAGAGTGGGGATTAGTGCTGTGACAGGGGTGGAGTCGAAACTGGCTGGGGGGCTTCCCTCCCTGCTGGACCTGCTGTCTCCCCTGCCTTCCAACCTGGCCTCTTCCTCTCCTTACCTCCGGCCTGCAAACTCTGGTCTGTGGTCTGTACAGACACAGCTGTGGTATCTCCCACACTGGACGCTGGGAAGTAGGCAAATCGTGCCTCCCCGCTGACAGCTTCGGCTGCGGGGCTGCCGCCATTGCTGAAGGGATTTTGGATTACAGCCTGGGGAGCAGGAGAACACAGAGGCCACCCTTAGCCACCTCTGTTCCCTCATCCTGGCCCCTTATTGCTGTGTTTGATGTTTACCGCATTCTCTGCAATAAACAGAGAAGGGGAAACCCTTCTGTGTGTGCCCTTCTGTTCTGTGTCTCACTCAGCCCTGAAACTTGGCAGGTACTCAGCAATCACTTGCTGAACCAATCTATTTTTAACTCTGAGAAACTTTCCTCGTAGACATATCGTCCCTGTTTTACGTGAAAAAAAAAGAAGTTCCCAGAGCTCTCCCCCAGGTTTCACTGTGCACAACAGGATCTGGCGCCACACAGCCTGAGGCCTACGGGCAACACCCGTGCACCACCTGCCCCACGCCCTGGGGCTCCCCCAGAGCAGAGTCAGTGTCCCCTCTCCATCCCCTCGGGGGCTGCCGGGCACCTACCAGCGGGAAGGGTGCCGCGGGACCTGGGGGTACAGAGGCAGCGGCAGGACCCGGGCGCTGGGCTGCCCCGTCCACGCCCACTTGGGTCACAGCCTGCTGCCCTCCCGCGAAGGCAGCGGTCGACACGACGCTGACGGCGCCGGCCGCGTCGCCCTGGCCGTCCAGCTGACCATCAGTCACCTGGACCACGCGGTATGTCACCTGCAGGGGGCGGCAGAG